TATATATATATATATATCGATCTACAATCGTGCAATTAACGAATCATACAGATAAGTAGAGTGATAATTTATGCATTCTCGTTTATGCACACGCTCGTGATAAATGGCCCCGGTTATAATATCTGCCTATATGAATTAATTGGGAAGGAAAGGAGGAAAAATAAAATTTGCAACAACGCGGGATCCGATCGGATTGGCGGGATTGGGGAGGAGGGAGAGGAGAGGAGAGGGACACGTGGAAAATGCAAATAGACTTGGAACAATTTAATCCGCTTGGAACAAGAGGAGGAGGAGGAGGAGGAGGAGGCGAGAAGTGCGTGCGACTCGAGAGTGCGTGAAGAAGAAACATGTTTGATTTAATTATGCGACGCCTAATTACACGTGGCGAGTACGATCGTTTACTGCGGCTAATTGCGAATGCGCATAATTTCCACTTTGTAAAATATCCCTCCCCCTCCCCTGGTTACGTTACCACTGGCCCAGTCACCGTGAAATTAATCACGGGAGAATTTTGAATTCTCGTGTAGAAGCAATTATTTTAATTTTCGTGTAACGGCGACGTGGTACGCGAATCCATTCGAATTCGGAAATTTCGTTTCGAATTTGTTGTCTGGAATTTATTGGGGAGGAGAGAAGGAAGCTCTTTGCTCGAGCTCGTCTTTTTAATTATCTGTAATTGTGGAGAGGGAGGGAGAGATTGAAAGGGGGGAGAAAGATTTATCCAGTGAAACGAATATCTTTATATTCATATCTGTAGTAAAATTGATTTGCGAGTTCGATTCGTGGGTTTTATTAAAGAAGCGAGTGGAAAATGATAGATTGCCGAGTTAATAAATAATCTATGTCCTGAAAATTACTACTTTCTATTTCTTATCTATTAATCCAAAAGAAATAATTATTATCGTATATTTATGTATAATGTATATAACGTATTCTTAATGGCGAGATAATTAAAAGAAAAAGGAGAAGAAAAATCAAAATGCAAAATCGAAAAGTGAAACAAAACGATAATATAACGATAAAAATCGAACGAAAGGAAAGGAAGGAACGATCAATCAATCTAAAATTCGTTGATTGAAAAAAGCAATCTCGATATATATATATATAAAAAAAAAAAAACTATTCTCTTCAAAACAAAAAAATAAAAACTAATCACCGAGTCAATTAAATTCAATTCGAATGAAGAAAGAAAGAAAGAAAGAAGGAAAATCAAAATATAATCATAATCATTTCTAACTGCAACTAATCATCATCAAAAAATAATTCACGAAAAGTTACACGAGAAAAAGAAGAAGACGAAGAAGAAAAAGAAAATTCTTTTCAGGTTCACTTTAAGGCACGTTGTAGTTGAAGTTTTCGTTTCCCTTTGATGTACGAATAACTAAATAGGCGAGAAAGAAGAAAGAGAAACGAAGAAAGAAAAAGAGAGAGAGAGGGAGAAAAGAAGAAGAAAAAAGACGTGGCGAAGAAAAGGGGTAGAACCGGTTTAATTAAAAGCGTGTAATTAATCGTAATTATGCCAGTAGTTCTGGTTTCGAAAAGCGTGACGTTTCGTTAGAAACGCGGCTCAATGGACGAGCAAATCAACGCCGACGAGCGAAATAAAGATGTGGACTGTGAGCGGCAAGACACTCGAGTGGTTTGTTCGTTAAGGTTGTGCATTACCTCAATATCTCGTGTTAAATTAACGAAGCGAAACGTGGAAGAGCGAGTACGCGATTTGTATAATTTGACTGGATTATTATGATATAATTTTCTATTTATATTTCATTTGTAATCTGAAAGAGTGAAAAAAAGAAGATATCTCTGCGATACGTATATATATTGTAAATTTATCTGTTTATAAAATGTATATTCAGAGAAATTAATCGCTTTATGATTTTTGTAAAAAAACCTGTGTTCTTAAAATTTGGTGAAAGCGATTCTTTTTTTAATGAGAAATAACGCAACAAGAAACGTGCTATTTTATAACACGAAATTTCATTAGAATTTGGATTTAATTTCCTCCTTTTTCTTGCATTTCCTCATCTCCGATGGAAAATAAAAATTTTCAAAGCTACGTCTTATTTCTTATTTCTTTCTCCCTACTCGATTCCTCCTCTGAAAAACTTTCAAATTAAATTTCCAAATAAAAATCTAATCCTCTCTTTTTATCCTGTTACAGATTACAATTCTCTTTTTCTTCCTCTCCTTTCCTTCTTTTTCCTCGAGAAAAGTTTCGAATTAGTTTGAACGATTCTTCGAAAAAGTGATGGAAAGCGGTCGAGTCACTTTCGAATCGAGCAAGTAAACGAAAAAGTAAGGAAAAAAAGAGGAATACGCAAATTCTGGCTCGCTTTTGAATCCGTGTACAAGCTCTTGTACGAAACGAAATATGCGTGGGTAAAATGGGTAATTGATATCGCGAGAAAGGGTTTTATGTAAAACCCGTCGATGCAAAGCATCTTGTGTTTCAATGTGGGCGTTGCGCAAACAATTTGAACAATTATGCAAATATTTATCGTTACATTAATTACTACGCATATCGATAATAAACGATAACGTGATTTTAAATTACTTACAATCGCCCCTTTTCTCGCTTTGCTGTACAGCACGGATAGTCGTTATTGCGCTTTAATAAATTCTACGTACCTGAAACATAAATATATTAATATTAAATGACGATAAATTAATCCGTTTCGAGAAATAAGATATTCCTTAGGACCGAGATGGATGAGCAATACTTCTCCTTTCACGTTCAAAGTCATAGTGCGTTCCTGTGTAAATTTTAGTTTTTGTTTCGACCAACGATAACACTTTGTAAATATTGTTTTTCTCAGAATTCCACGTGTTCGCTTCGTAAATAAATTTTTCTTAGAATTTCGCAATAATAAAGAGGAGTGGAAGAGAAACTCTAGTAAACAGTGACTAATTGTGTTGTGATTCGTTTAACCTTATATCATCACGTTATAGATATTTTCAATACGATTTATATCTCGTTATATTCTCGACGTGAGATGATACGTGAATAAGAAATTCGAATTGTCCTGCTACACTTGTGCAACGTTCGAAAGTTGCATCGAACAGGAGGAGGGGAATTACGTCACGAGGAAAAAGGAGAAGAAGAAGAAGAAGAAGAAGAAGAAGGCAAACAAAGGAAAGTGCACGGGCAAGGTTTCGAAGGAATTGTCACGCACAATGGCATCAACGGTGGACGCACAATTTCGCGCATTTGCCAGGCTTCCTCGAGAAATCTGTCCACGGATGCCTTACGATATTCGAAAACTTTGCCACCTATCGAAATCAAGTCGTAATAACGGGAAGAAAACTTTGGAAAACTTCGGTGCTCTCTTTTTTATAATATCGTAAACGGAGGAATTTTCATCCAAACGAGGCAATTTGGAAGAATTAATCTTTGAACGCAATTCGAGATCCCGGTACACGAAAGAATATTTCACATTACGTGTCTTAATTAAAAATTATCTCTTTTGAAACGACTACGTCCAACTCGCTATTGCACAATTTATAGAAATACAACAACTCTAATAAACCCCTTTTAGAAATCATGGATTTCTAAATCAGACGTTGAATCGAATCAAGTTCAACTTCTTCTTCTTCGCATGGACTATCGATTATAATACACTTTTATTTCGTTGCTTCGATAAAAATACGATACGTTTCCCTACGACTCTCATATATATATATACTCTACGACCAGTAGATTGCCATCGAGGCGCTCAAAACTCCTCTCCTCGACTTGGACAACCTTTACAATTTTCAACCTTGCGGAGGAGACCGATCCCTCCACTCGAAGGCCGGTTCTGGGATGCCGGTGAGCGCGCCTTCCTCCTTTCCTTCCTTCGTTCCCACCACGGTCGAAGGGGACGGCCCCAGCGGTTGGCAAAAGTTGGACGTGGATACCACGTTCTGCTTCGAGTGATCCGTGAATACTAACGGCGGTGTGCCGTCGAGGATCGCCAGTTTCCGCGTGGACTTCGCCGCAACGGGTAACGAGATCGCCTCGCGCGATCCTCCTCACCGATCCTTTGTAAGCGCGCGCGCGCTTGCGCGCGTGTGTGTGTGTGTATTCGTGTGCACGCCTCGAGGGAAAAATGAGGTCACCCGGTGTCAAGTTCGTGCTCCTGCTAGCTCTCGGTGAGTAAAGGGAACACTTTGCACAGTTTTCCTGTTT